ACAAGTTTCTAAAAAAGTTACAATAGAACACATGTAAATGTGACTGTAGAATATAAAAGATATAAAAATATAGAAATATAAAAAGACTTACTTCTGAAAAGAATACAAATTGTAGGAGTGCACATTTACTGCAATAACAACAACCTAAACCAACTTTCACAAAGCTGCAAATGCAGATTTTGGTTTTATTTTCATCCCATAATTGTGGTCCCATCTAAAAATGTTCTTCCCTCTTCTAATTCCTGTATATTTTCATCTTATGAGTAGAAGACAGAACTGAAGTTAAAATGGATTCTAAGCAATAAATTCTGTTAAACTGTGGCTCCTCAATTAATTAACAAGCATTGAACCTACTAATTAAAGTACTGTACCTTACAATAGAATATTACTTATATAAGAGTATAAATTGGGTGGGCAAGCAAGAGTTCAGTAGGAGCCGAAATGTAGATTTTGCAAAATGCATAGGAACTGCAGTTCTGTACTTTTTTTTATTCTGTACTGCAGTTCTGTACCACGATTTTATTATATAATATAAATATAATATAAAACAAATATTGAATTTTTTTAATAAACATATTTTCACAAAATTGTGAAATAAAATTGTAAAAATAATAATAAAAAGCAGAAAGTAACTCTTTCAGCAAGAGCCGCATGTAACTCAAAAAGAGCCGCATTTGCCCATGTCTGGTATAAATAAAACATGATTTTATTGTCTTAGTTATTTTTTGATAATTTTAGGAAACACAATCGAGGAAAGTGACAAAATCGAGTTGCACGGTCTTAACCAAACAGTGACAGAACTGAGGGAGTGATATTTGTGAGGGTGACAAAATGAGGGATGAGTGTAATCCAGTCTCTATAAAAAATTTTATCATTTTATGAAGTTTTTTATTCTAGAGTTTAGTTTTGATGTTACAGGAACTCCTTAACTTTTGGACAATTTCCTCCTCCCTTTTTTTTGTACATTATATTTTGATACCTATGAGTTACTTTTGTTTGATAAAATTTGGATTTTTATACATTTTCAGCTACAATAAATCATTTTGAGATATTCTGCAGTGACTTGCTAGTGGTCTAGATTTTTCTAACATAAAAATCAATTCACTTTGTAAAAACTTACAGTAGAGGCCATCATAATACCATTTTGTTTTATGTATAATAGAAATAAATACTATAATTTTTAAATAAAATTTTATAATTAAATATTTTCAGAGTTATTTTGGGACCTGAAAAAATGATCATTGTTCCTCCAGGTCATTATTGTGTGATACAAAATCCTGTGATAAGAGACAATGATGGAATTATTCAATATGATCTATATGGTCAAAGTAAACTGCGACATGCTGACTTAGAAATAAGATTACAGCAAGATCCTTTTCCTTTATATCCTGGAGAAGTTTTGTTTCAGGTTAGAAGTTATTAAATATTCAATTTTTCTTTAAAATTCTTTTAAGTTTAAGGGCATATTAATTTATACATTATAATTAATTTTATAACTTTATTGTTCATTGATAAAGAAAGTACAGAATCTATTAATATTTGATTTATATAGAAGACTAAGATTTTATCATGCTATCTATATCTTGGCTGATTAAATATACCTTACCAAATTGCATATCATCTGTTTTAACAGTGGCATTCCGTCATTGGAAGCAGTGGATGCGCCGCTTCCCTTGTATTTTCTAAAAAATAAATACATATTAATTTTAATTATATGAAAATAATCGCACAATATTTTATTATAACCGCATTATGTATCTTATTACAAATTTCTATACTACATGTGAAAAAAAANATATTTTGATACCTATGAGTTACTTTTGTTTGATAAAATTTGGATTTTTATACATTTTCAGCTACAATAAATCATTTTGAGATATTCTGCAGTGACTTGCTAGTGGTCTAGATTTTTCTAACATAAAAATCAATTCACTTTGTAAAAACTTACAGTAGAGGCCATCATAATACCATTTTGTTTTATGTATAATAGAAATAAATACTATAATTTTTAAATAAAATTTTATAATTAAATATTTTCAGAGTTATTTTGGGACCTGAAAAAATGATCATTGTTCCTCCAGGTCATTATTGTGTGATACAAAATCCTGTGATAAGAGACAATGATGGAATTATTCAATATGATCTATATGGTCAAAGTAAACTGCGACATGCTGACTTAGAAATAAGATTACAGCAAGATCCTTTTCCTTTATATCCTGGAGAAGTTTTGTTTCAGGTTAGAAGTTATTAAATATTCAATTTTTCTTTAAAATTCTTTTAAGTTTAAGTGCATATTAATTTATACATTATAATTAATTTTATAACTTTATTGTTCATTGATAAAGAAAGTACAGAATCTATTAATATTTGATTTATATAGAAGACTAAGATTTTATCATGCTATCTATATCTTGGCTGATTAAATATACCTTACCAAATTGCATATCATCTGTTTTAACAGTGGCGTGCTGTCATTGGAAGCGGTGGATGCGCCGCTTCCCTTGTATTTTCTAAAAAATAAATACATATTAATTTTAATTATATGAAAATAATCGCACAATATTTTATTATAACCACATTATGTATCTTATTACAAATTTCTATACTACATGTGAAAAAAAAAGATAAGATTTCTATTGTATATTCGAATATTAGTGGTGGAGTGGAAGCACTGTATTGTCAGCATCCAAAAAGCCAGATTTGCGCATGCGCTTTACAGAGCACCAACCTCACCCAGTTTAGCTGGTGGAAGCCTAGGACCTCAGGTGGATGCTACACGTATACCACATCCACGCATCCAGGACTGGTTCTAGGCTGTTAGCCACCCACCCATTAGAGATTTGGCCGCCTTCGCCCAATTAAACGATTCACGAGTAGATTTATAACTTAACCCAACCGATAAGAATTTACTGGTATGTTTTTATGATAGTTCTGTATAGTTGACAGGAGTTTTAAAAAATCCATTAAAATATTTGATATTTTTATTCCGCTCTCCGATTTTATATTACTCCCGGATTTCAATGTCAAACCAGTGATATTACAATTTCGTATATCCAATTTTTAAGGGGATGCAGAAAAAAACATGTACAATTCTTGTATAATGTTAAAAAATAAACTATTACTTCGACAGCATCATTTACAACTAAATTTAATGAATGAGAGAGATGCACGAGGTACAGAAAAAGCTCTAGAATTTATTTTCCTTAAATTTACAATTTATGTATCCATTTGTCATAAAAATTTGTCTTTCCACTTTTTCCCGGGACTACAAATATTCGAGTGCAAAGTAACCAGTTTTGACTTATTTCTACTTAAGAAGTAGTTAAATAATTAAGCGATTAGGGAATTGGGGACATAAACAAAACCCTGACGAAAGAGCCGAAATTTTACTTAAACAAATGCTTAACCGAACCAACCTCTAGCTGAGTACAGTGGGGACCAACTTCTTTGTAATATTAGACATAATAAAGACAGAAATTTTTCCAGTTCAACGAGAGTGACCAAAAAGTTGTAAATTTTGAAAATTTTCATGGACACTTGGTTCTAAAATGAATTAGTTAGAAAACAAATGACTATTAAGTGTAACATATTTAGATTTTTACAGCTATGGTGAGAAACGTTTAAAATGTACAACAACCCTGTCATGTCCTTTGAGGTATACGAGTGATGCAACAAAAGAGGCATTTGACATTGACTGGTATCGGCACCCTCGGGATTTGGCAGCCCACATGCATGCACCTACCAGGACCATCTCTGATTCCATCCATTAGCCACTCATAGGGAGTTATTTGACTAAGTTTTGTTTTAAGATTTAAAAAGTATAGAATATTTTATGTTATTTTTATGTATGTTTCTTTACAAAGCTATATTTAATTATAATTTTCTTTAAAAGTATATTAATATAATTGAAGAATATTTTGTACCAGGTATGTACTGTACAGTACATCCATCACCCATTTTATTTCACCAAGTAAGTTTTTATTATTTTATTTATAATTTTAGCCCATATATTGTGGCTAGCGATTCAGTATGTAATTGTGATATTACAAATACATTTAGAGAAGTCTACGATTTTTACTGGCTTATTGAACAAACGATATGCTCTGACATGCAAGTAACTAATTACCCCTGGAAGTCGGCTTCTTACAGAAACACAGCTTCCTTATCATCAAATGTCACGGCACGCCACTGATATTTAACTAGCCAAGTTACAGTATGATAATAAACCCAACTTTATCATTTAATTAATTATGTAGTGTGCATTTTTGATATTTATTAATTAATGTCAAATAATTTTAAGTGTATGAATAAAATAATTTTTTATACTAATACCAATAAACAATTTATTAGATTATATTATCAAAATTCATCTTTGTCTTGATATTACTCAATTTTTCATTTTGAAAGAATAATATTTGGGTTCTTTAATATTAATTTTGCAATTTCATCAAATTTAAGTTAGATTTGTGCTATTGTATGCTTGTAAAACATATTATTTTCAAGAATACACTAACAAAAGATATATAAAAGTTTGAAAATATTTGTGTTAGATGTTTAATTTTAATATTCTTCTTAATATACATTATGATCATTCTTTACTTATTACTACATTAATGTTCTCCAGAAACTTTTATTAGTGAGATGATGAAATATGGAGTGATAAAAAAAAATACTGCCGTCTTATAAAATTTTTTTATTCATAAATTCAATTCATATTTCTTCACAAACAATGTCATTTGAAAGAGACTGTGCAGAAGTTAATTCATCACATGGATTAGCTTCTGCAAATGTCAGTTGGTAATGGGTGATTATGTTGTTGGACTAAGCCAATTTTATAGTAGTGAAAGAATATTTTAAAAAGTTTAAAACTGATAGTGTCATTTAATAGTCAATTTTAATAAATACAACAATAGTATTTTGTATGAGTAAATCACTATGTACATAATCAAGCAGAAAAATACCATAGTAAATTATTGTGAAGCAGAAAAATTTTGTTTCTAAGCATGAAAAAATTGTAGGAAAGATAGGTTTTACTTTTGTAACAGTTACTACAAAAAATGAGAATGGGGAAGTTTTTAAAAAAATGTATAAAACATAAATTGGCATAACCTGAACTGTTTTTACCTCTGAATGATGATAGAACTTTCAAGATAGATGATGGTATGGTCAGTTGTAAAGCATTCATTGGTCATGATTATTCTCAATTCCTTTATCTTTTATTAAATTTCAAACATGTATACAATAGTTTATTGATAATTTTTTTTACATGTAAATATTTATCTAAAGGTTTCCTAATAGAGTGATGTTTTTGCAGTTTGTTGTAAGCAGCAATGGTTCTAGCCATTTTTTGGGGTGTAATCAAATCCATATTATGGCACTCCTCTGAAGGGAGTGCAGGTACCACTCCTCAGCAAAATATATCAGACTGAGAGATGTAATCAATCTGTATAAATTCTATTTACAATTGAGGGCAAGTAATATGTATATTGTGAGATATATATGAAAGGATTTTCATCAGCCTACTAAGGCAAACACCCAACAAGCTAAACACTTAGAAAATTTATTTACACCTGATATAACATTTACTAACATGTACTGTATAGGTTCAATAAAGGATGCCAACTCTAGGATGGTTTATCCAATGGTCATCCAAGACCCAATCATTGGTGGAACAATTACAAAATATGATGGCATAATGAATCCATACAAAGATCAATGACACTTATTACAAAAATAATTTTAACCCTTAATACTAAACTTACTCTACGAAAGGAAGATTGCTAATTTTCGCCCATCTTCAAAGGTGGCAGATAGGTCAAAACAAAAGTATGCAGGTTATACTATGGTAAACGCGCATGATAGTGCAATGAACAGCGAGAGTAAGTACAATGATAATAAACGAAATTTATTATTCATTCCACGTGGTGGTTTTCTTTACACAGAATTCTAACTTGGATCCCAACTATAACATACACAGTTGTATATGAAATTACAATGAACAGGAGTGTTAACAAACAAAAGGGTGCACACTTCACAACAATGAGTGTTACAGTCAGACTTTCTCAAATCTTTATAACTAAATATATAACTAATATATATACTAAGAAGAAGGATATAAAATAGGTGTTAGGAAGGTGGTGATGAAAGTATTTATGGTACCAGGGGTTTTTTCGTGAAAATCTTCGATCTTTCAGGTGGACGGATCACTCTAAGTTCGTTTTCCACTACTCTTCTTTGTTTCAAAGTTTATATCTCCAAAATCATTCACTTAATTCTCAATTACTATGTTGACGCTATGGTTTGTTCCTATTACTGTCGACAATCCCTGTCTTCCTTTTGTCCCACTAGACAACATTTCGGACCTTGCTCTTTCTATGTCTGTACACTATGAATGTGTGGTGATTTCTAATAGCTGTGAATGAATCAAAAAAGGGAGATAAGATTGACGAGAACATTTATTAGGTTACATACATCCGACTTGGATTTTACGCAAAAGGCATTTGCAATCGTGAACAATTGACAAAATAAAGTATACATTTATCAGATAATAGACAAAGACTCGGTTTGTAAACAATTCACCTTTTGTATATACAACTGACAAGGTTATCTTTCAAATTATAAATAGACTCGATCCCGAGCAGTCTTTTGCTGATCGGACATACAAAAAAAATGAACAGATGGTGCCTAACTTAAGTGTGGTTTACAATAACGAATATGATTAATCTTAACAGAACGCTCACCAAGAATGTCTACTTACTTCCCCAACTTGCCTTAGGGCTTTTCTCTTTCTATTGTTTTCTCGGTGTAGTTCCCCGAACTGCATCACCACCTGCAGGAAGGAAAGACCATTAGAAAGTTTGAGAAGAAAGATACAGAACAAAAGACTAACAAACTTAATACTATGCTTAACACTAAAACATATATATAAAATAATATACAAAATATGGCGTATCGCCACAATACAAACATCTTTCTGTTATCGTGAGGGACCACGTGGAAACTTCTTACATAGGAAAAGACTGAAGCATGTATTGTAAGTTCCTGAGGGTTTTTACTTGTATTCAAATTGTCAGTCACTCTTTTGAAACTTGCAACTAGTCAAGAATGCCAACTCAAACACTAACTTCAACCTGGGAATATCAAGATTTCCACTTGAAGTTATATAACTTCACCCATCTAATCGGGCACCAGACACTGTAACATCTCTCTTCTTTCATCATCATTTCCCTTCAAGCA